AAGGAAGGAAGGAAGGAAGGAGAAATATTTTACTTTTCATTAAATAAGTTAAATTAAATACATTTTTGGACAAACATTGGTTTGTAATGTTCTTCAGAGAAGTAACATCTGTGTCTTGTGAACTTGGTTTGTTTCTGTCTGATATTTCTAAATGATCGACCATTCAGACAGTTTTTTTTCTGTGTGTCAGCTGACGCAGCACGAGTCTCTGGTTACTCTGTTTGACAACCGCACCTGGTGTCGCCAGGGTGTAGCTGAGGAGTTTGACTACATCAGCCATCATCATGCCTGGAAACACCCCCAGGTCAACGTCTTTATCACACTCATCCTCTTCATCATCATGAAGGTGAGACGCGAATGCTGGATTATATAAGGAAAGGTTTGCCTACTTAACCCTCACAAGTAGTAGTCGAGTTGTAAAAAAAGAAAAAAAGTTTTTTGGGGGGGAAGTATACATAGCCTAATTAATATATTCTATTAACCCAAAGCAATATGCATGCTATGGTTGTTACATGTCAGGTACAAAGGCACCTTACAGTAGAACTGCAGTCAGTCCCTGGACTGGCATGGCTATCACTGCCCCTACAATCTAGATAGAGACAAATTTCCCACTGGGATCAGCTTCATAGTCATGGTAGGCCACTTCTTTGATTTTACTTTGGAGAATATTTTGGCAAAGAATTTATTAAGATTTGAAACAAAACCTCATAAAACACTGCAAATGAATATCTGAATCCTTTCAAGTCAAGTATTTTATTATTCAAATTCAATCAATTCAAAATCTGAAAAACTGGTTACAAATTCTAATACTGAATTGGCCTGAAAATGAAATAAGCCTATATAAAATCTAACAATTTTACTCACTGTTCAAATATTCATTTAGAGTATTTACAGAGAATCATTGTTGCTTCTATTGGTTAATTTAAGATAAGCTAGTCTATTTGCTGGCAATGAAAGAGGTTAAAACTATCAGGTCCGTCAAACTATATTTACCATTGATCAGACGACTGGCATTCTGCAAGTCATACGAGGGACCTTGCATTCAGATGTCAACATTCAATTCATTTATGACCATTGGCCAGATATTTACATCGCATTTGGCAGTTCATTCAAGATAATAATCCCTGTCTTAAATTGCTTAATTAAAATTTCTTTTTCAAATATTCGATACTATCCTCTTGGTTTCATCTGTTTTTTCGAGAATTACCTGCCTGCCGAGAATTACCTCCCCTGTCGCGAGAGCGCCCATCACCCTAAACTCACGCCCACTGATGAGAAAACAGATTTAAATATGAACGAACAGGGACATTTTATACATATTCTTAATTTTTTCATATTTCTTATACATTGATGCCTTAAAATTGATAGTTTTGGGGGACAGATAAATTTGAATTAATAGGATTTTACTAGTCTGATAAACCAGACTAAATGGAAGATTAAGGTGTTATTTAGTCTGGCCCTGATGAATGAGACATCGGAAGATTGTTGATGAGAACAACCCCGTTGTTTTTCAAGCCATGTCTGTGCCTATTGGCCAACGCTCTGACCAATGAGCGCAACTGACTGTGACGTAGTAAGTGCAACAGAAAGCTGGTGGGGGAGTGTAAACCAACACCCTGTCGGTAAAACGGCGTCCTTCTTAAAAATGAATGAGCGTAGAGCCTCTTCCTGCTCACGTTTCAATGAAAACCCTAAGTCTAATCCTTCCAAAACTGATTCCAAAGCTGAGTCAAAAATCGCTATCAGAGCCAGCGGTCCTTCACACACGGCTAAGCTGAGAGAGGACTGCTGCAGACGGGCTGCGGTTAGCCCTGGCTGCTGTTAGCCTCGGAGCTCCACTGGTTGCCGCATTCCTCTCAACTTCAGAAACAGTTTTTTTAGTTACGCATTAAATCGGTAAATGGACCATATAGTGACGCTTTAAAGTATAATATTCTCGCCTCAAATTATGTTAAAACGTACTTTTACTGAACAACAGCAACAGAAAAGAGAACTTTTAACTTTCAATGGAGCGCTCCATTGAAAGCTGCTGCCTCCGCAGCGCATGCTACTGTTCAATAGTTGTTGCCATCTTCCTTGTTGTGCTTTATCCAACGTTGCGCAGCTTTGTCGTCACGCCCTCAAAACCCCGCCCACTTTGCATCCAGAAATTCAAAACACGTCTCTACGTTGTGATTGGCCTGCCAGTTCTAGGGCCTGGGGCATTGATCAAAGCTAGACCACTAGACCACAGGCTAGGATTTTACTTGTATGGAGACACGTTTCAGTTGATGTGCTACAGTCACTGTGTGATACATAAATTCTCTGCTCAGTGGATGCCAATTCCCAGTTTTGTTATCAACACCATTCTAGATAATTTCTGACATTTTATTTGTTAAACTTAGAAACCTGCCGAAGATTCCCTCCCCTCCTCATTTTCACATTTATTGTCCCAGACTTATGAAATTCATACCACAATCACAGAGAGCAGGTATGATTATGTGGAGAAACTTGCATAATTGTAAACACATTATTTCTCAACCTAAGCAGGGGAGGGAGATCTTGGCAATTTAGAACCTAGAACCTGCGAAAGATTCCCTCCCCTCCTTATTTTTACATTCCCTCAAATTGCGTTGTCTTTGCCACTTGGCCGTGATGCTATTCAGAACACCATCACCTGTTCCACTGGTTGCGCCACTGAGGTTGAAAAAGAAATCGCATATGCCCTCTGGACCACCATAATTTGGTCAAGCGCACAGCCTGCCAGATGTTGAAAGGGCAATATTATTGCCATTACTGTTAATATATGTAATTTACATATTCAGTGATAAAACGTCACAGGGGATATTATTGGGGTATGGTCATTTAAGAAGGGGAATGATTTTTAAGGTTTATTTTAAGAAGGGGGATGCCAACCCCCCTCATCTCCCCTCACAAATCCCATCTAAGTCTTTTTACTTGATTTTATGCCACGGAAAAGATACGCTGAAAATGGGACTTTGATTAAGGTATTTGCAAATAATTCATTAAATCATAAGCCACCAAGTCTTGCAAAATAACTTCTGACCAAATATCATTTACATAACTGGTAACAAAACTTTGAGAATTAGAACTCTTCACTTTAGGTTCAAAACTGAATCATTTACCCTTTCAAGCCAAACCTTTCTTTCTGTTTCAGTTCTGGATGTCTGCTGTAGCCACCACCATGCCTGTCCCATGTGGAGCCTTCATGCCTGTCTTTCTTATTGGTATATAAATAGTCTATATTCTTTCCCTGGTTTGATCTTAATTTGCATCTTAGAGGATAGGCATCATTCTGTGTCTGTGACTGACTGACAGGTGCAGGCTTCGGCAGATTAGTGGGAGAAATCATGGCAGCCATGTTCCCTGATGGCATCCATGCAGATGGTACTGTGTATCCTATAGTTCCTGGTGGCTATGCCGTTGTTGGTGAGTTGCCTAAAGTCATTTTTTTTATATTCTAAAGTTATTTCTGTGTTGAATTTTATAAAGATTTCTCTGCATGTGTTTGTTTTATGTGAGTTAAATAGCTGTTTTCTTAAGGCTCAAGCTAACTTCAATGCATGTGCTTTAACATTAAGGATTAGTAGAATTGCTTCTTCTATAAATCAAAACTTCTATTTACATTTTGAGCTACAGTAAAACTACAATTTGTGAGTCAAAAATAAAAGTTATTGTGTTTTCAATGAAAATGCTTTGGAGCGATATTTTTCAAAATTCTTGTTTTTAATGTAATTACCAGGTTTATAATAAGCTGTGCAGATTTAACATGACTAATATATACCGGCTTTGCCTTCTCTTTGGGCAGGGGCTGCAGCGCTCTCTGGAGCGGTCACTCACACTGTTTCCACAGCCGTCATTGTGTTTGAGCTGACTGGTCAGATCTCCCATATCCTGCCTGTGATGATCGCAGTGATACTGGCCAACGCCGTGGCACAATCACTCCAGCCATCCCTGTACGACTCCATCATCCGCATCAAGAAACTTCCATATCTGCCCGAGCTGGGGATGGGACACCACGAGTGAGTTGGTTTCTTTGTGCTTGCTGTTAAAATGATTGATGAGCCCTCTTTTGGTTTGTTTTCATTCTTATGTATCTCACTCTTTCCATCACCAAACTATTAACGTATTTTCCATGATCTAACTTCTCCTCTATGATTTAGGAAGTATAATATCCGTGTGGAGGATATCATGGTCCGAGATGTGCGCTTTATCACTCTGAATTCTTCATACAGAGACCTGCAGGAGGTGCTGCTGACTGGGCATCTAAAAACACTCGCCCTGGTTGAATGTAGAGGTCCGTTTTCATCTTTTTCTCTTTCTTTGGAACAGTGCAATCTGAGCCAAGAGCTGGAGCTTTAGATTTTCTAGAACTTTTGTATTGTTTTCAGGTTAAAAGGGGATGTAGGACCATATTAATTGTACCCTTCTTTTAAAAAGGTTGTTGTTTCCAAATGTTGGCTAGATTTGTATATTCAGAGATATTTAGATTTATTTTTAAACTCATAGTCTCTAATCACTTGATTTTGGATTTCCTTTTTCTCTTTTTTCCCTGCCCTGTTCAGAAAACTATTCCAATGAAACTGTATATGCATGGTATTAGTTTGATTGTGCTCTTTATGCTGTAGAAATATTTGGTTACGTGTTTGGGTTTTTTCTCCGTTTGCACAATCTTCATTCATTATTAATGCAAATTGTGTGTCTTCTTCTCTAGAGGATTTTAAGTCATTTCTATTTAATTACTTCTGCAGCGGCCTGGCAATATCCAGTTTTGCAAAAAGACAAGATGGACTCTTCTAACTTAAGGGTTTTATATATCAGAGTATACTACAAATTGTCTAGTCTTTGCCAGATTTTTATTTGTTTTAAGTTTACTCCAAGTGTTGCATGAAGCATTTAGCCCTATCATTGTACATTAAAGGATGATAAAACCTAAATACAACCTTCATAAAACTTTCATGGCTCCATAGGGTTAAGGAATATAGTTTTTGCAGTTTGCTGTGCTACATGCACACAGTTATTGACATAATACCAAAATTGTATGGACCAAAAAGTGTATTCCACTTATGATTTATTTTTGTTCAGTGGGATTGTTATGTTTTTTTTTTTTTTTTTTGCACACTTCAGGTAAGATTTTAATCATTTAAAACCATTAAAGAAGAAATCAAGCTAATGTAAATACAATGTAAAGACTTAGAACTGGAAAAGGGTGCTCTTATTAGTTAAACTCCATCTTGCATGGTGTGATTCTTATGTAAATATAAGCCTTAAAACCTTGTTGCTGTGTTAGAGAACAGTGTCGAGTCCAGAGAGCCAAACTAGAAGGATAATGCTTTTTCCTGTTTGCAAAAATGAGCTTACTAATAAGGCAACATAACCCTCCTGCTGCTGCAGCAAAAGGCAGACAACCTTATGTCCTCCAGCCTGACCTGAACCTAATTCCCTTTTAACGCTGCCCAGCAGAACAGCCACTTGGTGCAAACACTAATTAGCTCTGTGTGTGGTCTACAGCTCTTTCTTTTCTTTGTAAGATATCTATAGGCTAGGAAATGGGAAATATATGCTGCTTTTATGAAATACAGATTAAAAAAAAAACATTTTATGAAACAAGATTGATATTTGACTATTTCTGCTGAGTCAATGTGATGGATTGATCTTCTTCTCTTCTTCCTCAGACTCCATGATCCTGCTGGGCTCCATAGAGCGACTGGAGCTTCAGTCTCTCCTTTCTCTTCAGCTCAGCCGCCAGCGAAGGCTTGAGTACCTTTGTCAGATGGCCCAGGACAACGGCGCTCATGATCCACTCAACAGTCTGACCTCTGACAGCACCCCAAGCTCCCCTTGTGCCCACATTCACCTCAACACTCCCACCAACACCAGTGCTCGCCAAGTGGTTCGCTTCTTGGTGAGCACCCAGCAGGTGTGAGGCGTCCGGGGGCGCCGGGGGCGGGGCTGGGACAAACTCTGGCTTGGGGTGGGTCATAGCATAGACTAGAACTAGGCTAGAAACAGCATGAGAGGAGCACGTGGCAGTAGGTAAAGGCACAGATGCAGCTTTAGGATTTTTGCTGTGGTAAGTTTTTTTTTAAACTTATACAAATGATTAATATGACTGCATCTTCCATTAACATATATCTCTCTTGTGTCTCTGTTGTCTGTGCCTTTACCTGTGCTGTCCTGTTCTTTTTGCTTTTTTTCATGCATGCGCTTGGTCATTCTTGGTCATTTCTCTTTTTGTGTGCATGATTCCGTGTCTCGCCTCTCCTCTTAATGTACTGTTCATGCAGATCTCCACAGAGGAGTCTTCCTCCTTTAGCCCGGTGGTTTCTAATGCTCAGCTTCCTCTGAAGTCTGCCTTGAAAACTGTGTTGGCCATCAGCGATGCAGAGACGGCAAATAGTATGTGTCTTAATAAAGAACACAAAAAAAAAAACTGAGAACAGAAGAGTGTGATTTATGAGTTCTAAAAAAAAGTATTGACATGCCTTTATTAATAAATCACATTTTGTCATGATAAAACCACAAACATGTATTTTATTAGAACTTTGTGTGTAGACTACAATACAATAGTGCTTAGTTTAGAAGTCGACATGCATTTGTATATAGCCCCCCTTTGATGCCCCTAGATAAGATCCAGTGCAACAAATTCACTCCTAAGTCCACATGAATCTGCATGTTTAATATAATCTTTGTATAATTCCAACATGACCATCTTAAAAGCTCTTTTTCAAAATCAGTTGCTATACCTGAATATTGCTGTTAACTGATGCTATTAAACTAAACTTTTTTTTACAAAAAAGAATGCTCAAACATAACAATTTGTACATGTAAAAAAAAAAAAAAAAACTGCTAGGGATACACACAGCAAATGCAGCAAAAGGCGATTCTTCAAAATATGGGTTTCAAAATAAATGTGCAACTTTTTTTTTTATTAATAAAAAAAGTCTGAGAAACTAACCCCCTTTTTTCTCTTTAAAATAATATGCTGCTTTGTGTTATTATCTCACATAAACTCAACATAATACATTTCCAGTTGTGGTTCTAATGTGACAAAATGTAAAAAAAAAAAAAAAAAAATCTTAAGGCGCTTTGTTTAAAATTATAATTGATGGAAAGTCGATTCGATTTGATGTTTTGATTTTTCTTCTAACAGGCTCACAGACCCTCTCCTGTGCCGATCAAGACAAGGAGCTGCTGGAGGTGAGAAGAGTTTATTTTTAAGTGAGGAAGAGTGGGACCTGCTCTGTGTAAGAGGATGTGTGCTCTCTCTGAGTCCATGCCTTGTTGCTGTCAGATAGGACTCACCCAAAGGCAGCAGAGCTTTGAAGTGTGATGTCATTCTGTCGTCGTTCTGCACAGCTCTGTCCTTAGCCAGTGACTGCAGCCTATAACTACACAGCACACACACTCTGCTAGTTTTTCAACATCCTACATTTCACTTAGCCTTAGTTAAATTAAAGGCAGATATTTAGCCACTTTGAGGCAATTATTGACCTGTGTTTGACATTTTGATGTAGAGGCTCGTTAGAAATAATAAACTCTTGACGTTTGCACAATTGTAAAACTTCTAATATTTATGTCAGAATTAGGATTGTCCATTTTATCATCTAAGATTTTTTTTTTTAAGTAAAACTAAGAAGAAAACAAAACAAAAAAAGTGCTTTAGTGACATTTAGATAAGAAATATTTTAAAATACTAGCAAATATGCCTTCCTCCAACTTGGGCAAACCTGGTAAAAGATTCCCAAACAGTCTTGAATAAAATCAGCATAATTTAACAAGAAACAGACTAGAAAAACAACCTTTAACAGGAGTGAATTTACTGACTACAGGTAAAAAATGCACTTTAATTCACAGAGTCTTTAGTAGAGAAACAGGTCTGCAGCATCACAAGTCCGTCGCTGTACTTAACAGTGGACATAAGGGGATTTTCCAAATATGAATTTTGTGTTGGACGGCAGATTCTTCGTTTACCAACACATCAGGAGTCTTTTTTTCAGAAACCACAATCTTAGATTCATCTAAAACTGACTCTAGTGTAACGTGCAGTAAGGCTGGCACTGAGCAGTCTCCATGTGCTTGCATTTAAAATGGTAAGACACAAAAGAGAAATGTCGGCACCCCCTGAACATCTGGGTGGTATTTTAATAGAATCAAACAGCTGATCTGATGTCAGCATGCTTGTCTTTGTTATGAATTTCTAACAGTAAGATTTTAGTCTTTTTCTTTCCCCTTGCCTTCCAGCCTCCTCTCTCTGGAGACACGATCACCTCGGACTCTTGTCCATCCTAGTGGTCCATACAATAATAATAATATTTAAATAATAATAATAAGCTTGTGTTTTACATTCATTTTTTCCTCTGAAAGTCAGGGATTTTTTAATAGATGAACGACAAAAATGCTTCTATGATGGTCATTTTAGATGAATTGTTGGATTTAGTGCAGTTATACAAAAAATTATTATTGGGATTTTTTTTCTCATGTGAATGAGTTGCAAAGTGATTTTACTCATCCTTCCCATAGGAGAAAATAACTGAAGTGAAAGCAGCGTGTCAGTAAATTTTTCTTTAATAATATAACACTTGTATTATCAAAAGTAGTGTTTTCATTTAATATTATGAATAAATATATTTTACATGATTAAAATAATGCCAATAATTACAACTACATGAATCAAACAAACCCCAATTGTTATTTGTTTTCTCTTTAGTCGTTAGTCGTAAAACAAAAACGACTTATTATGTAGATATAGAGAAGCCACTACTCTTTTGACATCATGTGATGAGTATCTTGAATAAACACAGAAAAACAGATACAAAATAATGGGTTTACTTTGACCTGGTTTAAAAAGAAAGGGTTGATATGGGGCTGACAAATCAAAATTATAGGTTTAGTTTCATTCTCCATGTTGTCCTTCAGTTTAGCAAGGTGGGGGATCTTCCATCTGAAAGGGGCAATGCCATATTTTTCTATTTAAATATATATAATAGAAGGATTTCAAAGATTAAGATAAAGGATGATCTATCCTGGGTACATATCTAACAATAGCTGCTGCATTGAAATCAGTTGTCTCATAAGGATTTTGTGCCCTCATCTTCATCTGTGGTGCAGTAATTACAGCCTTTCAGTAAAACTGCGCTTTCATCCCAGACTTCCGTGTAGAAGTCTGGCTGAAACCCAGTGTTCAGTGCCGCCATGCTCAGAGGGTTAAAAGCTGTCCACTTTATCTGAACCTTGTGTTAATCTTGTGCTGTCATGTCTTCTCTCCCCCGGCTGGAAGAGTCCGGTCGGGTCGGCCTCTCCTGACAAAACACAGCCCAAGCCCAAACGAGTGAGGATCTCCATGGCGGTAAGACTGTCTGCCGCCTAGAGACTGTTGCTTAGTAACTGTTGCCTTGCAACCTGCACATAGTAAGTGCTGGAGCTAAATATTTGTGGTGCTCAAACCAAAAGCATCAGAGTGGCTTTTTACAGAGAAAGAGAGAGAGCATGTTTGAGAATGGTCAAGATGTTGGTGCATTCAGACGTTTTCACTTTTAACTGCTTGTAATGCTTGTTCAATGTTACATTGTACTTTTTCCCAACACCTGCATTTTCATAACTATACACTGGGTTTTTAAACCTCTTAAATGTTTCCATTTTTTGTAACTTTACAACCACAAACGCCAATGTCTTCTACTGGGATTTAATGTGACAGACTAACAGTATGTAGTATATCTATTTTCAAAAATATACATCTGAAATAATCATTAATATAAAGCCTAATTTACTCTGATACCCATAAATAAGTTTAAATAGCAACAGGTTGTATTTAGAGGTTTCCTTCCTTTTTGAAATTCTTAAAAAACATATTTGTGACAGAAACTTAACTCACCTCATCACCCTGAGCACAGTATCATGCTGTGGAGCTGCTTTTTTTTCTCGTTTGCAGGGCAGGCACACTTTTTGAAGTAGATCAGGTGATAGAAAGAGGTAGAATGCTTGTTTGAGGAAGTAAAAGACTGGAGCACAGGTTCTCCTACACAAGGAAAACACTAAACCCATAGCTAAAGCTACATTGAAACTGTTTTAGATCAGTGTAATAAAATGTCTGCACAGCCTAGCGATAGAGGCAAAAGTCAGGCTCTAGACCTGCAGTGCTTCTACATATCTCCTAACAGACTTGTGGTGGAAAAGGAGTTAAATGTGACCGTGTGGACGCCTCAATATTTTAACTAAAGTATGATTTATGTTGGTCTGTGACATAAAATCTTACAAAATATATTTAAATATGTGGTTCTATGAGAAGATATTTTAAAATAATTCAGGGTGTGACCTGTTCTGAGAAGCAGACATCCCATCAGCTCTCAAACTAAAGATCTGGAACGTACTACACAAAGTTCAATTTGAAGCCAGAAGCGACTTTGCATGTTCTAATATACTTCAGGTAGCATATTTTTATAAATGTTAACTAAAGCGTCTGTCTATTTTGTATTTTTAGGAATCTCCTGAAGTTGAAGACTGTATGACTCCCTCAGAGGTGAGGCATGCACAGGTAGAAGGGATTTATACAGACTTCTATCGGTTACATATTAAAAACTGTTTTTTTTTTTTTTGTCTCTATCTCCTATCCCTTCGCAGATAGCAGAGTGGGAGGATCAGCAGCTCGATCAGCTGGTAGATTTTAAGAACTGCAAGATTGATCCTGCCCCCTTCCAGCTGGTGGAGCAAACGTCCCTGCATAAGGTACAGAAATAACTAAAAACGTTTAATACAGCAAGATTTCTCTTTAACCCGTAAGGCTAATACTTAGATGTTGGCTCTTCGAAAAAATTAAAAACAATCCACTGGACTTGGTTTCCAAGTTTGAAGACGTTTTGCTTCCCATCCAGGAAGCTTTTCAAAGGCTTGTTTTTTTTCATTTATTTTTTTTAAACTCAACGTTATTCCTGACATTTTCAATTGAAAAAGCCTCGTGGATTGGAAGCGAAACGTCTTCAAACTTGGAAACCAAGTCCAGTGGATTGTTTTTACTTTTTACGGAATGACTATGACCTGGATGACTCAGAACCTTCACCAGCATAAATGTGGGTTTGCGCTTGTTGTAACACCTGGAAGTAATGGATGCTCTATTTTCACTGTGGATGTCCCTGTACTCAAGAGGGAATCCTTAACTTGCTGCATGATTGCCATCATGAGATACAAACTAGAAACAACCCAAATATTGATGATTTCTTGGAGAAATCATTCTTATCCATTCTAAATCTATGAAGAATCTCTTCAAAACTCTTCCTCTGGTTTGATAAGGTGCAATTGTGAGGTGGAGGTCTGAGACTGCCTAATCTGACTCAGTGGCCATCTTGAGAGACAAAAATACAAAGCAGTTCCATCCCGTCATGGCAGTTCACACAGCCCAGATGCAAAATGCAAATGAGGCGCTTTCAAGTCTGTATTCAGGCCATGACCCACCTCTCGTCTTTACCCACAGACCCACACTATCTTCTCTCTGCTGGGCCTGGATCACGCATACGTGACCAGCATGGGACGGTTGGTTGGAGTGGTCTCTCTTAAAGAGGTATGCATGCGGTTTCTTGATTTCTCTTCCATTTTAAAGAGCTTAAATGGGCAACTTGTATTGTTTTTCTATACTCTCACCGGCTTTTATTGCTTTCTCTTTTTCTGCTGACTGATTTCCAATATTTACAGCTGCGTAAGGCCATCGAGGGCTCAGTAACAGTGACTGGAGTGAAAGTACGCCCTCCTCTGGCCAGTTTCCGTGACAGTGGGAACAGCACAAGCGTATCCGAGGTAACAGAACTACACAAGCTGTGCATGCGTCACAGAGGGCTGTCCTTGCCACGGGAACCCAAACCTCCAAACACACCGAAAAAGCTGGACCTTTCATTTAAAGATGTCCCCATCAGGTTCTCAGACAAGACTCATTTGGAGTTTGAAAACAGCGACACCCAGTTGTCAAACCTCGTTCTTCAGGAAAGCCCCTCATTCGCGGAGGACCAATCAGAGTTTACTTTTGACTGCAGTCCATCTCACACTGAGGAATCAGAGCTGGGCTGTGACCAAGACCCCATTGATCCAACACCAGAGCCGGAATTAGAATTAGAGGAAGAGCACATGACTCTGCCTCTAAACATGGAGCAGTCTGAACCTGAGGGAGAGGGTAGCACTGTCCACACTACGGACCAATCACAATGCTAATCTAATGCTCACCTATACTACCGCCTCATAAATGTATCTGTTTCTTCAATTTGTATCAGTCCAGTCTTGACACTTGTGTTTCTAACCTAGTGATGTGAGCAAATGTCTGTTGAAAAAAGAGCAAAGCTGTTTTTTTTATTTGCTATCTTTATAACAGCCATCAGATTTCTTATGAAGACCAAATATTACATTATTTCCAAAAATGTCCACATTATGGTTCATCTAATGTTGAAAACATTGAATGTCTCATGCATACATGGAGGTAAAATAAGTTGCATAAAGCTTATTTTCTCCTGTATGCAGCTGATTAAATATGTAAATGAGAAACAGGAAAGCTAGTCAGAAAGCTTGAAGCACAACGCTGCGATACCTTCTCCTCACAAACTGCACCAAACTGAATATTCCTAACTGATTCCCATTGTAGGAACTAACAGCACAAAGGCTTTAACAGGAAAGAGGACTTTGTTTTACTATAATTAACAGTTAATTGCCATGTTGGTAGAAAATCTCATCTTCATGGCTGCTTTGGCTCTTGAGATTTTATCAGAGTTCCTTCTGAAGAAGCCAGATATTTATGAGATTCCCTGAATCCGGATCACAAAAAAACTTCTTATACAATAATTGTGGATAGAACTGTTATCTGTTTTTGGGGGGTTTCAGATGTATTCTGTGTCTAGTTGGCTGTATTTTATTTGAATGACTTAAAAAAGCACTAATGATTGAGTATGAACTGAGGACTTGCAGCTAATGCAGCCGAGTGGCTGGTTGGCAAGTATCAAACTATCAATGAGTTCATTGCACTATTCTTACCACCAAAACCTATTTGAAATAATTCCTATAGCAACTACATGCTTTGATATATTTCATTGGGATTTTAAGGAAAAAAGAAAATATATATTTTTGAAATTACCCTGATGATAAAAAATTGTAATCACTGTATGTCTCCTGTTCCATCATGCTGTTACTCAGCATTCGTTTTTCATCACACATAGAGTTTTAAATGCAGAGAGATCAGTATTGGTATAATCTCATGGCTGCAAGTCTAACTGTGATAAGGGACATTTGTTGGATTTTCTTCTTTTTTAATATCTCCTTCTCTGCATGTATCCATAAAGAACATATATTAAATATAGAAAGAATATTTGCTATGTAGGCGGTTCTAGAAGGCAATTTGTAATGCCTGATATCATCTAGTGGGAATCTGTGAAAGATTGGCTGAATAAACTCCTAGATCCTGTTCTCTTAACAATTACATGTTACTTCCTAATTGATTTTTCTCTTAAAATCCCAATGAAATCTATTGAAGTTTGATGTTATAACCATCATAAGTGCGAGTTAAAGGCTTAGGAATGTTTTTTTTCTTTTTACTGTGAATGTCAACATGAATGTTCCTTAGCACTTCAGGGAAGATGTAACAACCGTTTGTTGAAGGTTTTAATGCTTTGACTGACCCCTTTTTAATTTATAATTTTAACACATAAAGATTTATAATTATTTTCTGGTCTGAAAAAATGGTCAAACAAACAATTTTTGTTCATATCATATTACATGTCAGTACTCATTTTATGTTCATATTTATTATAATTATTATTATTCAGTAAGCACAACATTTAAGAGCAATACCTTACAGTAATTTTTTTATCTGTGTGCCCAGGGTGATATTTTTTGGGATGAGTCAAAAAATTAAAAAAAGAAAATACTTATGTGAATCGTACACAAGCCCTTGTTTTGCAATGTGAGAAAATTCTTGTTGTTTATAAGTTGTGTGATCAACGGGGACGTTGGGGCATGGATTGGCTCACCCAGGGCGAGATTCATGCAGGAAGTCATTTGTGAAAGTCGGGTACCTAAGTTCTGCACCAAACAAGCCTCTCTCCTACACCAACATGTCTCACAGTATACTGACATGTTTTTTTTTTTTTTTTGGTTTTACTAAAACTGGTATTAACATTATAGCAAAACTGCTTATTTATTTATTTATTTATTTATTTATTTATTTATTTATTTATTTATTTATTTATTTATTTATTTA